ACCACGGCCTTGCACGGGCTGCTGGCTTGGGGCACCTGTGGGCCTCTGGACTCTGCATGGCCCAGGAGGAAGATGGGGAGGTAACCGCCCCAAGTAGGGGCCAAGACGGAGGCTCAGAGGGGCTCAGCTACCTGCCCAGGGCCACACAGAGGCCAGACTCACAGCTGGGGCCCTGTGCGTCCAGTTGGTCGTGGCTCCCGTCCCACCCCCGCCCCTCACCTGAGCACCAAGAACTCTGTCTGTCCTAGAAGGAGGCTGCTCCAGGTCCAGGCGGCAGATATCAGAAGCGGGGATATTGTAGACGTGGCGCCAGGAGCTCCAGACACCAGTGGTCCCACCCTGCTCTGTGTCAGCCCCTGCAACTGAGCTTCGGGGCGCAGGGGTGGTGCAGGGTGGGGGCACCACCGTCTCCGCTCACCTCCATGGCTCGCTCAGCACCCTGCCCTGCCGGCCACCCACTCCTGCAGTGACGCCTGCCAGACAGACGTGTAGGGGAGGGGCTGGGGCTATACCAGGTGATGCAGCCTTGTCAGCCCCTGGGGGCCCCAAGAGCAGTGGGCACCTGTTCCCCAGCCTCACAGGAGCGGGAGGCTTAGCTCACAGTTGGCGGCTGCCCAGCACACACCCCTCCCCTGGGGGGCCTGGCTCAGCCATGACCTTGCCCTGAGGGTCGCACCTGCATTTGGACATGTGTACACCTGCACTTGACATGTGTGCTGGCATCCGTGTGTGAGCACACATGCACATCCTTGTGCACCGAGGAGCACACACATCTATGTGCACACGTGGTGCATGTGGTTCATGTGTCCCCTGCAGGGATCTTAGGCACACGTGGCCCCACTGTGGGGCCTGGGTTGAGTGACATGTGGCATGTTTCTGTACTGTGGATACTGGAGCAGAGCCGGCTATGCATGTCCACACGGGTGTGCACTGTGGGGCGGGGAGGGTGTGCAGGCAGCCTCAGTGGGAGAGCTGTGCCTGCCACACACGTGGCCCTGGGGCCCAGCACCCTGGGGCCCAGGACAGGGACGGCTCCACAGGGCAGGTCTCCAAGGCAGAGCAGGAGTGGCTGCGGGAGGGCTGGGAATGAAGGTGTCCACAGACACTTCTTCCCCAGCTGAGGGGGGCGGGCTGGCTGCCCCCGCTGGCCCTTGGCCCCAGCTTTCACCGCATCTGCCCCTGCTTGGCAGGGCCAAGAGGGCTCTGGGGCCTTGAGCCCCCATGACATGGGTTCAGCCACTGAACAACTACCACCTGCATCAAGGGCCACACATGCCCATCGAGCCAGCCCCGCAGACAAGCAGAGGTGCTGACCCTGGGGGACCGACAGCTGGAGGGACCAGCTGAGGATCGCTCCCTGGCCCCTGGATAGGCCCCATGGGAGTCCAGCTGCAGCGTCTAGAGCTGGAGGGCACCCAGAGCTTGTAGTGACAGCCCCTCTCCCCTGAAAACTGTCCAGTGACTCCCCGTCCAGCTGGCCCAGGATGGGCTTCCAAGGGCCCCTTGGCCACCAGGAGGGCCAGCTCAGCTCCATCTGGCAGGGTGTGTGGCAGTGAGGCCAGTGACCCCCAGGGTCTGGAGGGGGGCGGGGTCCAGGGAGCAGGTCCCACTGGAGGTGGGCAGGCTCACCCTGGCTCTAGCACTGGCCCCCTGAGGCTGGCTGGTCAGCTCTGGAGCAGTCGGTTTTGGCTGAGGGCTTGCTGGAGCTCTGGATGCTGAGGGGTCTGTGGGGGTGGGATGTCACTTGGTGGTGGGGTCTCCACCCACCCCAGGGTCCAGGCCTGGCTGAAGGACACTCCCCATAGGCCAGTGAGTGCAGGAGGCCAGATGCTGGCTGCACCTTTTGGGTTTGGCCTCTAGGGAAGCCCAAGGCCCCCGGTGGACAGATGACCACAGCAACAGAGCAAGTGCTGGGCTGTAGAGAGTCACACCCATCCCCAGCTCTGTCCCGTACTGCTCGTGGAATCCGGCCCCCGCCAGCAGCACAGCACAATGCTCGCCGTACACACGAGGAGACCGAGGCCTGCGCTGGCTGACAGCTTGTCCCTGTCCACACAGAGTGAGCAGGGCCAGGGTTGGGCACTTGGGTGTGCTCCTGACCTGCCAACATTGTGCTTCCTGGAGCGTGACCGCTCACGGGCTGCCCCACAGTAGGCTGTGGGGGGCAGATGGACTGGGTGGACCCCATGTCCTGGGGCCAACGGGAGAGGCAGCATACCTGTAGGGAGCAAGGTCGGGATCTGTGGTCCTGGGGGTTCTCAGAGGGGCCGACAGGGCTCTTCAGGGGGAGGAGCCAGGCTGTGGGGACAGGGGAAATATACATGGAACATCCCCAGGGCAGCTCCTTCCCATGGGCCCCTGTTGCCCTTCCATCCTGCCTTCCCTCCCTCCGTGGCTGCCTGTCTGTCTGTTCAGTCTACCCGTCTTCCTTTCTGTCTTGTTACTTGCTCTGCAGGCTCAGCCCATGGGCCCTGAGCCAGGCTGTCATGCCCAGGTCAGTGCTCTGCGGCGGGTCACGCCTATCCTCCGCTCTCCCCTAGGCCCCTCCTCAGCCAACTGGTCCTACCCTGCAGACCATCAGTCAGGGTCGTCCCAAGGCCCCAACCTGGCTGACCTCCTCAGGCCATTTGGCAGTAAGCAGGGGCTGGAGCCCCAGGGCCACGTGGTGGCGGCGGCTGTGTGCTCCCATCCCTGTGGCTGGGGTCGGGGGTGGGGGCCCTGGAGGCTGGGTGCTGGCCCAGCCGAGACTCCTGGCTACAGAAGGGTGGGGATGGGGGTGACCCTTGGCCCCCTGGCCTCACCAGCAGCTTCCTAAGACCTGAGTGGGGGGACAGCGGTGATGCCAGCCAGCTGAAGAAAAACGATTCTCTCTGTCCTGGCATGAGAAACGCCCTCCCAAGTTCAGGACCTGTGCCCCAGGGAGGGCCCCAACATGTGGCCAGTCGCTGGGGCACAGGGAGGAAGACCTGGCCACCCTTTGGGGTGTTGTGGGGTAGCCCTGCCTGAGCTGGGTGGGGAGGGGCCCCTGGGGGCACCTGGAAGGAAGGGCTATCAGGATGGTCCTGGCTTGGCCACAGCCCCTGTAGGTCCAGACCTTCTGGCAGGTGCCAGCAGTTGGGAAGCAACTGGGTGTGTCCATGGGAAATGGAACTTCCAAAGGTCACCGCAGTCTCAAGAGGACAGGACTATGAGGGGCCGGGGTCAGCAGTGACCCCGTGTGGCAACAGCAGGCATGACAGTGGCTGAGCACCGCCCAGAGGTGTAGGGGGTGGGGCCGTGAGGAGGGGGCGTGGGGAGAGGCGGGAAGCCTGCACAAAGTGGGCTCGCGGCCCTGAGTCCTTTGCAGACCATTCTTTCATTCTCTATACACACTCACTGAGCAGGGTCTGTGGGCCGGGCCACGCTGGGGGTGAGGGGCTGATGCTCCGCAGGGACCTAAGGAGGAGACAGTGGTGAAATGCTGAGAAGGGGGCGAAACAGGTAAGAGTTGATGGCAGAGGAGGGCAGAGGGTGAAGGTGGTGGGAAGGAGGTGGAGCGGAGGGTGCTGGGGGGAGAGGTGGGGCAGTCCTCAGCAAGGTGAGGTGCTGGGAGTGCCAGGAAGGTGATGCTCTCCCACCCCGCCCCCGTCTGACGAGAAAGGGTTGTGCTGGGCACATCACAGTAGCCATCCATCTGTCTGGGCTGCTGCCCCGTGGGTCCCTCCGATCCTGTTACAGATGAGGAAATGGGGGAGCAGAGGCTGGGACCTGGGTCTCTGCAGAGGCCCCATGCGGGGTGGGGTGGGGTGGGGGGCTGCCTCTGGCTCCACCTGGGCTGAGAGCTCGCTGTGGTTACAGGTGGGGCAAGCCCAGGAGCCCCACAATAGGGTCTGTCTGCCTTGGCCAGCCAAGAGGAGGGGCCTGGCCTAGTTAGGCACAGGGACATGGTGTGTGACCTCAAACTGGCTGGAGGCCTAGGCGCCAGCCCTCCTGTGGCATTCTGAGGTGTTGGAGGGCCCCAAGGTTTGCACTGTGAGGGCAGCAGCTCTACGGAGAACCCTGGTGGGACCAGGTGGATGCTCTGTTTTTGGCTGTGGGTCTTGGGGTCTTCTAGGGATGCAGCTGACCCAGCTCTGTCCCCTACTCAGAGCCCAGCCCCCACACCAGGGCTGCAGGGTGTTCACTGAATGGGGGGTGGGCAGGTCAGCAGCTAGGATTATAAGGTCCGTCCTGGCTCCTGTTGGGTCTAGGGCAAAGGTCTGTCCAGTGAAGGGATGGGGTGGGGGTGTGAGGCCCCCTGAAATCCCCACATCAGGCACATTCATGGTCACTTGCAGGGTCAGTCATTGAGCGTTTATTCCCAGTTCTCAGAGCTCAGCTATGGCTGGGGAGGCGTGGCCGTGTTGTGGGGATGGAAGAGGCGGGGGCTGGCGGGCTGCCGTTGCTCCCAGGCTGAGGTCCTGCCTGGAAATTGCCAGGCAGGTGCTGGAGACAGCAGCCGCAATTAGGGGCCCAGAAGACCCCATGGAGCAGCGCTCAGGGCAGGCCTGGAGGGATGGCACGTGAGGTGGGGGCTGAGGAGTGTGGCCCACACCCACCTCCATGTGAGACACTCAGGATGCAGGTGGAGGGGGCAGGGTCTAGCAGAAGCAAAGGCACAAGGTCAGACAGGCCTAGCAAGGAGGGTTGAGGTCTGCAGATGGAGAACCCAGCCAGGCTGGGGTGATGGCCACAGAGGGTCCAAGCAAAGCAGCATGGAGCACGGTGCTCTGGGGTGTTGGCTGGGGGCCCAGGAGGAGCCCACCTTGAGGGTGGCCCAGGTCCTGGCTCTGCCTCTTCCAGGGTGACCCCTACCAAGTCTACAAATAAGCTCCTGGGGTTGAGGCTCTAGAACCAGAGAGGTGCTCTGGGGCAGTTTGTGGGGGTTGGGGTGTTGGGAGGGAGGCCCATGTGGGTCCCACAGCCCAAGAGCTTAATCCTCTGGAATCGCAGCTGCCTGGCTCCCCCTGCTGGCCCTGCCGGCCCCGCTCCAGGCCTGGCCATTGCAGGGATGGGTCCAGGACTCTGACCTGCAGCCCCCAACCCTTGGAGTCCCGGCCTGCCATCCCCACCCCAGCACGATGCTCTCAGTTGTCCGGCTCCAGCGTCCACTCCGACAGCCACTTCAGGCAGGAGGCCCGCTGTGCTTCTGTCTCAGGGAGCTTGGCAGGGGGCGGTGGGGGCCGGCCCGGCCCGGGCAGGGGCGTGGAGGGGCTGCAGGGCCTGGGGCCCCCTTCTGTGGGGTCAGGGTCTGGGGCAGCCCGCAGGACCTGGACGAGCTCGTCCAGTGGCTGCACCAGGGTGTGGGGGCTCCAGCAGGCATCGAGGGTGGGCACGAAGGGGTCGGGCGTGCAGGCCTCCACGCACTCGGTGCATGTGGGGATGCGCAGGTAGAAAGCGTGGAGCATCATGCGGAAGGGCTGGTCCTCCTGGCTCGAGGCCTGGCCATAGGTCTGGTCCCCCACGATGGGGTGGCCCAGGGTGCTGCAGTGCACGCGCAGCTGGTGCGTCCGTCCTTTGGGGATGAGAGGGGGCCAGTCAGGCGGGGGTGCCACCCCATGCCCACCCCCTACCCATTCACGTCATGCCCAGCACCGTCCTTGAAGCCTCACACAACCCCTGGGGGCAGCAGACCTCCCTGTTACATGCCACAAAGACGTCAGAACTCAGAACAGAAGCGACTTCTGGGGTTGCCCCTGGTGAGACCAGGGCGATGCTTGATCAGCTAGAGAACCCAGGCCAGAGCAACCTCGTACGGGGCAAGAGGCTGCAGGCTGTGAGGCTGAGTGTGGGGGAGGAGTCAGCCTGGCCAGCAATGCTGGGAGACCCCGGGCAGGTTCCTTTCCTGTGTGATGGGGACACTTCGGTGCCCTGTGCCAGGAGATGCCCAAGGCAGGACACCATCAGCAGATAGCAAGGAGACCTGGGCACGCGCCCTGGACACACCCGTGAGAGGCTGCAACAGCACTTTGGAGACAGGATCACCTGCATACAGTCCGTGTTCCAGGACCACCAGCTCAGTGAGGCTTGGTTTTGGGTTCTCACAGCCTGAAGGGAGCAAGGAAAGCCCAGAGAGTTGGCTGGGCCAGCTCCATGGCTGAGTCCACCCCAATCCCAGGTCGCCTGCCCGGGTTGCCCCAGCCTACCCAGGGTCCCCACAGGACGACTGTGCCCCTGGCCCCCACCCCCTGCCCTCCGTACCCTGTGTGCCCTCAATGCACATGGTGTGGGTCCGGCCTTCTGTGCTGTTCTTGCCAATAGCATAGCTGATGGTCATTCGGCTCTCCTGGACGTGCCCCCGCACCTGCCAGGAAGGGGGTCACACGCTGCTCACGGGGTCACCCACCACTGCTGGGAAACCCATCTGACAGCCAGAGGCTATCAAAGTGGATTGAGAGTTGGAGTCTCCTGCCCCAAGGACCAGCTGAGCCTTACCAGAGCCAGATAAGCCTTGGTGACTCTCCGGTCCTTGAAGCACCTGTAGGCACTGCCTGCAGCTGCCTTGTTCAGGGCCACACAGAGTGCCCCGCTGGTGGAGAAGTCCAGTTGGTGGCAGAACCTGGCATGGGGCAGAGGATCAGTGGTGGCTGGGCTGTGGGCCGCTTCCCACCGACGGAGGCTGCTGTGGGTACCTGAACCCGTAGCAGGTGTCAGGGTCGGCCAGCTCTGGGAAGCGGTGCCGCAGCTGCTTCTGGAGGGTCAGTGTCTCCCACCAGGACTTGCTGTCGATGCGCACATCCCAGTGCTTGTTCACCACCAGGAAGTCACGGCTCCGGTACACGACACACAGGTTCTCCACACTGCCTGGCTCCATGGTGGCTGCAATGCAGGGCAAGTGCATGGAGCGGGGTCATGGGGTGCCCAGCCCACATCAGGGTCCTGCCCACCTGGCGTGGACACCCCTGCTCCCTAGGGCCCTGGGTCTGAAGCCACAGAGGCTGTGTCAGACAAGCTTGCAGACCTACTGTGTGCCTGCACTCCCACCTCTGAGTCAAGTAGCAGGGTGTCAAGTAGCGGGGGTCTGGCCAACATCAGGGGAGCTAGTGTTGCCCTAGGCTCTGGCTGTGGGGCAGTCCTGCCAGACCCGGGCCTGGGGAGAAGCAGTCTTGCCCTCCAGCCTGCTCCCACGGACCCTTCCCGGACGGGCCACGGACGCGCGGTAGAGGCCTTTTCCTGAGTGGGGTGGGGTGCAGGGCAGGGGATGGGGCTCTCCCTCTCTCACGTAGACGTCCCTTGCCCTGCCTCCCCTCCGAGGAACCCTCGCCTCCCGCGGAGAGGTGCCCGGCGGGCTCCACTGCGAACACTTCCCGCGCCCCTGCCCATTCCGAGATCGACCTGCAGCTGAGCTGCGCCGTCTGGGCCCCCGATGCTGCTGCCCGGCCCTGGCTCCTGCCCTCGCGTCTCCCTGCCTCGTGGCCCAGCGGCCCCGGAGCAGTCACTTGGACCACAGAGGTGCGCCTCGCCGGGCCCGGCCTGGGCGCTCAGTCCCGCCCACGTCCCGCCCACGTCCCGCCCACGGCGCGGACGGGCGAGCGTGCTGACCAATGGAGAGCACCCGGATCCCGCCGCTCCAGCTCCAACGTACCGACTCGGCTCCGCCCGGCGTGCGCGCGCAGCCACGCCTACGCCCCGCCCCTCACACTGACCAATGGCGAGCGTCCGGGTACGCCGGCCGTTGATTGGCGGCGCCGGGGCGCTTTGGGCAGGAGCTGCGGGCTGGGCGCGGGAGGTTTGCAGCCGGCGGCGGGCGGCCATGGAGGACTACGAGCGGGAGCTGTGCGGCGTCGAGGACGACTTCCACAGCCAGTTCGCGGCCGAGCTCGAGGTGCTGGCCGAGCTGGAAGGTAGGCGTGGGCACTGCCGTGGCCTCGTCCCCCGTAGCTCGGCAGGGGTCTGGCCCACCCGGGGATTCCAGGAGGGCTGCTCGGAGGGGAAGCGCGAAGGCCGGGAGGCAGCAACAATCTGAGAGAGAGAGAGCAGGGCCCTGCAACGCCGCCGACCTCGGGGGCTGTGACTGTGTGCAGACGAGCTGCTCTGCATGACTGCTGTGAGTTTTCTCTCCGCAGGGACAACCGCCATGTCACCTTCCAGGGACCCCTGGCCCACCGTGGGCCGGCCCCGCCTGACGTTCGAGGAGACCATTGCTGGAGGGAACGCTGCCACTCACTGCTCTCCAGGCGGACCTCCAAGGAACAGCAAGGGCGGTGCCAGGAAGAGGCAGCTGGCCGCTGACATCCACGGGGACAGACCCCTGCTCCCTAGTATGTTTTCCGGGGGCCCAGAGCATAGGGGTGGTGTTCGAGGCTGGAGACGGACCTCTGTTCCTTCCATGTGTCTCCCCAGCCCCCAAAGTCAAACGGTCCAGGCTGGAGGCTGCCAGGAGACTGAACTTCAGGTCCGATGAGATGGAAGAGCCGCTGCCTCCTGACTCCCCGACTCAGGACATCACCCCCCCACCGAGTCCTGAGGTCCCTGCTGAA